AGAATGAGATTTTTGCTGACACGTTCTCTCGACTGCTCGCCAAGAAAGCGGTCAGACTCTTGACCAGTTCCCTGAACGTTTAAATTCTCTCGCCATTGATTCTAACTTTAAGGCAACCGTGATGAGTTTGTTCTTGATTCCGTCATTCGTGGTTTGCTGACCAATAAAATTCGAAAAACACTACTGGAAGATAAACTTGACCTCAAAACAGCGTTTGATCTCGCCAGACAATAGGAACTAATTCCTACACAGTCTTTGTAGTACAACCGTCATACCTCTATGCGCTTGGATGTATTCTGTCTTGTCGTCGCTGGTGCTCTGTTATCGATCCGCTTTTCTGACTCAGTCCTTAGCCCCATACGCCCATTGGAGCAGGCGGAACGTGGATGGGCAGCATCCTTTGTGCCGGGTGGTACCCAGCTTAGGCTGCCCAATGAAGTGCGATGACTTCTCCCACCGTCGAAATAAACCCCATGTACTCCACTCCCACGTCTACCTAGTGGAGGTTTTTTGACTGGTAAACTGTTTCTCTCCGTGTTTATTCGCTAGAGTGTCCTCTCCAGGGGCATAGTGATTAGAACCAGATGTTGCCCATCAACTGGTTCTGAGGCTGGACTTTGTCTGGCCTCTACCCATTGACCTGTGAGGCATGATTGCATTTCCGGCTTAAGGAAGCCATCCTGCATAGCTCTGGGTCATGGAGGCACGCAAACCATCACGCCACACCAAGATGCAGTCTCCTCATGATGGCGCTTCCATATTAAGGCATTTGAAGGCGTAAGTGCCATTTGGAACTACCATAAAGTCTACTTACCCTCTCGTAGCAGCTGGCCGCACAAAAGAAGAACAGTGGATAATTTGTAATCATATTCTTGAATCACCGAGTAGTCTTTGATTCTGTTGATTGGACGGCCCTCTAGGGTTTTTCCGATGGATTGTGAGTGCTTGATATACACGTCAGGGTCATCTAAACACTCTGCTATTAGACACCAGACCGAGCGAACGCACACGGCTCATCATTGCCATACTTCTCTGTTGCATGCGTTAGATTGTCCGCTCTCACCCTTTCTGTCCACATTTACGATAGACGACGTCCACAGTAAAGCACGAGCTAATCAAGGACGTCAAGCAGTTTCTCTTTCATCTGGTAAAATACTTTTTGACTTTCTACTATGCACATGGCATCGCCTTGGTTTGCGACAATTTTAATGCGTCACAGCGTGTTCGAAACAGTCTCGGGTTGTTTGTCTGGTGGTGGCGACAGGTTACAGATTGTGAAGAAGTTTGTCTACTCAGGAATTTGTATACGTGCTAATTGATAGGTTGGAGATGAGGTCGACAAGCAGGTAGCGAAGCTCAGACTGCGTTACAATCTTCTTCACCCGTGGAAACGACGGGACACCTCGCCACCGTTGAAGGTTAGTGGGCACAGTATCGCTGTATGCCTTGTACTTCTTTAACCCTGCGAGACTTGGCCTGTTTGACCAACGTGCTCAAATCCGTCCCACTAGCTCTAGAGAGAAAAGGCCTCTAGCTTCGATCTCTCTCCGTGTATTAGTACAAACCAGATTGTTTACATAAGAAGTGTGCTGGTCATAACGAAAACCTTGCATAAAAGCTTATTGGTTCACTGATATTCCTAAATGTGCCGGCCATATACCCCACACAACCGATGTTAATCGGCTGTTTGTGGAGTATCTCGGAGTTTGGTGGCAGCATTGAATCAGCAAATGTGCATTTTTCTTACCGTGTTATTATCACCTCATTGACTTTGCTGGGTGGCAAACGTGCTATGCACGCTACCCCTTAAATCCCCCGTGCCTGGGGCTAACTGAAACAATAGCGTGTAGACCAAGCATGACGTGGTCGGTCACAACGTGGACCTCAAGAATAGCCCTCATGCTTGTATGTCTGGGGACATCGAAACCCGCATCACACTTGTTTGAGACCCGTGTCTGCAATTCGTAGTCAGTGATGGTGTTGTGGAAGGTTATGTTCCAACTCCCAACTCGCTGCCTGCGTTTATACATAGCATCGCTTTCAGAGGCGTTTGGAGTAGTGGCTTGTTTAGAAAACGTATATGATTAGCATGCACTTGTATGGGACAATTATCGTCCGTGTTTCGATTTTTATGTGAACAACCATTAACCATGCACTAAATGATGCTGTTCTGGTTGTGACAACCAAGGAGGATCTGAAACGTTTGTCGCTGGGTTTATTGCCATATCATCCAGTATTGTTGACCTTTGAATAGGTGTCCCTTTTGCATCCCATCCAGGAAGCCTAATGTGCTTCATATAGCCACGTTTCACGGGCTGGGGTTTTCATACTTTTTCCATGATGTGAGATGGTTATGTTTATCTTCCTTCCGTTACCTATCTCCCATACCATGGTCAAATTGGCCCCAAGCTAACCGTAGGCCATAGATCAATGTTTACAGCTGTTAATACAGTAGAAGTGGCAAATCACGTAGCCATAGTGTTCACACTGCAGTTAGGACAAGTCAGTCATCTCGATCACGAGAATTGAAGTAGTGGATTCTGATGTTGATCCGCGTGACAGTACACCTTCCTACTACGAAAATTAACCGTTGATTTTGATAGATGAATCCGGTACTTAAACAATACCTCCGGTGGAACCAATCTTTCAGCCTTTATCGAAAAATGCTTCAGACCAGCTACATGACTGAACATATATCATGAAGTCATCTGATTCTGTTATAAAAACAGTTTCGAAAACTGGGGAATTGCCGTTTCCAAATTATTAGGAAATGTTCGGTTGACTGTCCTTTGGACTCCACGTTTCACACACAAACCTCAGGTCATCCGACCAACCTGCACTCGGAAGCACCAGACTCGAGTTTCGCTCTTGTTAGAGCTCAACAGTGGTGCATATCCTCCACCACACCAAGGGTTTGAACCCGGGCTCTTCCATCTCGAAGGCGTGTGTGTCACCACTACGCCACCCCGCTCCCGTCAGAGCTGATCCGAATCACCAAGTTAAGCTTGTTCAGATGTCGTCCTCTATGACAGCCAGAAATGCCCGACAGCTTCAAATGGAGACACGGTACCTGACCAGTTAACTCCAAGCGAATGCCTCCCACACACTACTCGCAAGTAATTGCGTGATATGCATACGAAAACGCGAAGCAGGTTTAAAAAAATGTGGGTACGTTGGCCCCATCCTTTGGAGAAGACCTGATTTAGTGGGAGGCATTCGCTTGGAGTTAACTGGTCAGGTACCGTGTCTCCATTTGAAGCTGTCGGGCATTTCTGGCTGTCATAGAGGACGACATCTGAACAAGCTTAACTTGGTGATTCGGATCAGCTCTGACGGGAGCGGGGTGGCGTAGTGGTGACACACACGCCTTCGAGATGGAAGAGCCCGGGTTCAAACCCTTGGTGTGGTGGAGGATATGCACCACTGTTGAGCTCTAACAAGAGCGAAACTCGAGTCTGGTGCTTCCGAGTGCAGGTTGGTCGGATGACCTGAGGTTTGTGTGTGAAACGTGGAGTCCAAAGGACAGTCAACCAAACAAAGATTCATCAATCCCACACACTACTCGCAAGCAATTGCGTGGTATATATTAGGAAATGGCCAAAATCACAATCACTTAAGTTTACCCACTTAAGTCAGCAAGACAGTTTTTACCATTCAGTTGTGTAACTACTCCAAAGGAACTAATGGTATTTGAAAGGCGTGAACGGATATGGTCGGGGAACTCACTGTAGCCAGTCTCATCAGGAACAATGGTAAAACTAAAACTAAAACAACCTTTGCTTCAGTGATTATGACGGTGCGGGTGAAATTGTGAATTTGTGCGACCATCCGGTCAAGTTTAAATATCCAGCTTGGAAAAACATGAGAAGCCTTAGACCCCGGTGATTAGGGAATTTCGGGTTGCAGGACAAGAAAGCTATATCATCAGCTAACCGTCGCAGGAATAAAAAGGGAAAAATTGGGGGTACATAATGCATGGCAAGAAGTGAGAAATGGAACAGCTGATATCGTGAGATATCGACGGGGTTAGTTATCAGTTTGGGGCGATGCTTCAGACCCGATTCTTCTTGGGCCACTTGAAGAATGTTTGTTCTGTACGGCTGTAATGATCCAGGCATCCCTCCAAACAGTTATTGGTAAATCAAACATGCAGAGGCATCTATCTCTCAGTTGGTTTAAGGAAACAGTAATATATTTAGAAGACAAGGAATAAGATGAGCACGGAAAGCGGTTCGAGGCCAAACACCCCGTAATTTATTATGTTGTAGTTGATCGAAGTATACTCTTTGTCCAGGAGGTCATTGCCCAATTGGTACGAAATAGAGGGTGATAACGAGTTTCAGCTTTTTCTTTTTAACTTTTTATGTTCAGGGTCATCGTTCATATGCCGTTTAAAGGAGATTCAAGGTCTCAAACGCACCAGATCGGCTAGTGACCTGTAGCGCAGCTTATAAGCCTCTTATTGAGAAATTTTATCTGGTACATGAAATACCGCGAGCGGCACTGGCCTCATCTAGCGGCCAAGCGCATCCGCCACATCAAATTTGTGCAATTTTGTGTAGAAGAATTCTGACCATTCGAGAAACCCGTTTATCCTCGAGTGCTCTTGTTAGTCGTTTGTGATTGCTTACTAAGTGGTCTCAACATCCATCACTCTCACATTAAGTCGTTTCCCCTATCCATGACCAGTGGACGAGCCAGGCAGCATACAGCCCTGCTTGATGTCTTGTAAAGGCTGTGTGCTACCGTTGTCTTCCTCGTCATGCAATTTGTGGACTACCGGAGCATAACTGGATGAAATAACGCGATTACCGTACTCACTCTGCGTGAATTGTGAGGAAGCCGGTTTCACTGCTAACCACTGTTAGTACTGCAGTACTGAACGTTTATCTGTACATGCAACTTTTTTACGTTTAGTCGGGACGTTGTTATCCGTCCGACGCCGCATTCTCAAAGGGATAGATGCAGTCTCACCATTTCACTTTCTGTTTTTCGACCAGGAGTGCTATGGTGTTCCATACGTTCCTGAAGGACCGTGGCTTTGTCGTAAGTGCCTTCACTCACCCAGCGAACCAGTATCTTGTGTACTTTGTCCAAACCGTGGTGGAGCATTCAAGAAGACGTCTGATGATCGTTGGGCCCACGTGATCTGTGGTCTATGGGTACCGGAAGTTATGTTCGCAAACCTAACTTTTCTTGAACCTCTGGAAGGAATAGACAAAATCGCACCGGCAAGGTGAGTGTGTATACATTCCAGGTCAAAAGCACTTGCGTTAGCTTTGTTCCCCGTGCTCTCAGAGTAGCACTTTTTCGATGCCCTATTGTAAATTAGGATAGTGACGAACCCACGGTCCGAAGAAGAACTACATTACTAAAGTGCAATATTCATATTTATAATCACTATATGGATTTCATCTTTTTAGTGGAATAAGATTATATCCGTGAAGAAACAAGGGACGAAAAGAAAACTTAGATTGTTTGTATACCCCAAAGATGGATAATTATACAATGGAATTGCACCATCTCCAGACAGAAACCTGCATCGAATCATTCTTGTGTAATTTTTTAGACTGGCATTTAATGTTCGAATGTAGGTTAGTCAAAGAATGGTGTTCAAAACAGCTGTAAAATGGCATTAGAAGGAGAAATAAAGCAAATTCCCACATATGGGCCAGTACCCTGAAATGGGATGGTAACGAAGAATTATTAGTGAAGAGGATGGCTTTACTTTTGACTCATTCTTAAGAGAATGAGAGATGACCTCGGAGCTCAACTTATAAGTCTGTACATACGAAGACAGAAGTCAATAAGCGTCAGTTATGCTGTAAGGTATGCTGGTAAGATATATCGGTGGTGCCGATGTGTTTTATTGTGTCGGACTCAGTACGTGCCATATGACCTGTAATACTGATTCCGAAATCTGAAGTGACAAACGGAGCTTGGCGCGCGTTTTTTGCAACATCGGCAATAGTCTGATGGCCCGAAAATTGCGCCGAGAATTCCCTGTTTTATTTCAATCAAATCGTGGCTTACTGGGAGATCCGTAGATAACTGATTTGTGACACAGACAACCGTGTCGTTTAGCTTATCCCAAGTCTCAACTTGGCCAGTCTACTGCTCCTGTCGCGTTTACTCCCGTAATCCAAATGTATCCTGTTTTATTTACTTCACCTGATAATTGAAGTCACGCCCAAATAACTGGAGGCCTCGAGCCTTAATCAAACCGGCGATCATTGGATATTCACTTGAGTTATTCACACCTGATCGGCTGTACCGTGATAACTCGGCTGGCAGAGCTATCTACTCGGTATGCCGGATTGTTGCCGTTTTGATTCGGGCGTGCAGCGTTGCACTTTTTGATGCGAACAATGCAGGTAGATTTTCCATTATGTAAGATTCGGCTTCATCGTACCAGTAGTTACACCTTATGAAGTTTCGTTTTCTTGACTATATTCATATCTGTCTCATTGCCTCTTACATTATTCCATCCTGTCAGTTGACGCTATTCTGCAATTTCCTGTTTTGTGCTGCAGATGGAGACTACAGTGCTTCATATGCAAACAGCGCAATGCTGGCGCTTGCATCCAGTGTCATAAAAGTAGTTGCTATCGAGCATTTCACGTCACATGTGCTCAACATGCTGGATTGTACATGAAGATCGAACACACCGATGATCAAAATGATGCAGGCATACGAAAAAGCGCGTTCTGTGATCACCACTGCCCTCCAAATCATTTCAAAGTAACTCCCATTTTTTACTGTCATATTGATAAGAACTGGCGCGTACGCGACAAAAGACGGTCGCAAAGCTAGCGGAAAACCGTATTTGAACTGTAAAGTGTGTTCTTTAGGAACGGGTTCAGCCCTGAAGCTTCGAATTTCTAATACTATTATTACTGGTAACAGTAGCAGTAGTTCGATTTTGACTTTTTCCGATCTCTCGCGAGAAAAATTGCGCGGCATTGTTCGCTTGAGAAATCGGTGAACGACACCGGAATTTGAAAATTATACATTCGAAGGTGCTTTTTTAACCACAAAGTGGTCGAATATAGCTGTCTACGCGAATCGAGTGGGCTGTTAGTGGTATATAAACCAACGTGAACTCGTTCGTTGTGAATACAGGCGCCATCTTGGTCAGTTAAGTATGGCCTTGCATAGAAAACCCGAGTCGAGTAGCAACCTATGTAGTATCTGATCAGCGGCTTGTCATCCATTTGGACGGTGTTCATCGCTAACCCGTTCGTAGTTTAATCTCGTGTATTCCTTTTGATCTCCTGAATGTGAAAGATTTCTATGTTAAGTTGGAATAATGAATATTTTTTATCGGATTGTGGCCGTTCTGGTTGCTACTTCTCAGCAGTAGCCTAACTATGACATGAAATTATCAACACTATGGCAAAGTAAGAAGAGAAGTAAGAAGGGTATCAATATTATGATCAAGTTGTGTGAATACAGATGCCTTACGTGTCATGTTATGTAGTCGTATTATCCTACCTGCCTATAATCACTGATTGCATTGATGTCGTGGTAGTCCTACACAAGAATAAAATCAAACGCAGTGGGCCGGCTCAATGCAATACATCCATGTTATGGGCTGCCCACTTGTTGGTGCATTTTCTAACAAGGTTCATGCGGCTTTTGATAAATGCAAAATGTGATAAAACTGATATTTGCATCTTACCAACAATTGTTGATTTTTTTGGCACTAATTTCATTCAGGTCGGTAATGGGTACGATAACGACGTCGAATAGTTATGGCAAAATGCACTGTAACTGCTGTTGCCGTATGCACAGTCATCTGTGCTTATTTCAAACTTGAACATATTTCTTGCTGCCCGGTAGTTGATTGAGTCTCCGTGAGTTGCGGTTAGGTATTAGTTCAAGTAGCTTGGGGGATGTTGGATATGTTGGCGAATTCTACTTCACTCAACTTCCTTTTCCAAAACAAGCGAATTGTAATGAAATTGTGATAAAATCAAACAATTGTTTGATCGTGTAGTCGCCGAGATTTCTGCCTGACAATAAAAATCTCTATTCTTTTAATTTTGACCATATCAGTAAAATAGGTCTGCCAACTAATCCGTTACTCACACTTGTTCATTTCAATTTGGAAAACGCAGTTGAGTAGGATTTACCAATACTTCTGACATTCTTCCAAGTTACCTTGACTGACACGTAACCTTACCTATCGGATTCCCTCAATTACCGGGCAACACGAATTATGTCCAAGTTTGAGATAAGCACAGATGACTGTGCACATGACCATAGTAGTTACAGTGCATTTAACCACAACTATCCAACGCGGTTATCATACCTGCATGACGATTTGATTGAACTAATGCCATGAAGCTGGTAAATCTAAACAATATGCAAATATAAGTTTCATTACACTATGACGGGTACTGGACAAAAACAATAACCACGTTCAACCCATAGTTCGATTGGTGAGTTCGACATTACTGAGTAAACATATACCATTTCGCAACAGCTACATTGGCCTCGATAGGGTAAGCGCCGTTAGGTGCGCCGATGAAAGAAAGTGGGAGCCACAGCATTGCACGGTAACCTTTTTGTGTATTGGGCTTCCAAACGGCTAGCGATGAACACTGTCCAAATGGATGACAAGCCGCTGATCAGATACTACATAGGTTGCTACTCGACTCGGGTTTTCTATGCAAGGCCATACTTAACTGACCAAGATGGCGCCTGTATTCACAACGAACGAGTTCACGTTGGTTTATATACCACTAACAGCCCACTCGATTCGCGTAGACAGCTATATTCGACCACTTTGTGGTTAAAAAAGCACCTTCGAATGTATAATTTTCAAATTCCGGTGTCGTTCACCGATTTCTCAAGCGAACAATGCCGCGCAATTTTTCTCGCGAGAGATCGGAAAAAGTCAAAATCGAACTACTGCTACTGTTACCAGTAATAATAGTATTAGAAATTCGAAGCTTCAGGGCTGAACCCGTTACCAAAGAACACACTGTTGCATGCAAATCGCGATGTGCAGATATATTTAGTAATCGTCCTGAATCTAAAGTACAAGATTCGAAGTACATCATCGCAGTTTGTTTCCAGTGGTGGGTAGCACAGCTCACCATAGCACTTGATTCATTGTGGCGTCATTTTGTTCATCACTGTGAGCCTTTACGTCATGATCACGACTAGCCATTGCAGCTACGGTGTTTTCTGCCTTCCACCGTATTGATGGTTATGTACGGAAATAATAATGGTAATAATAGCATGTTTTTGCGTACACGGATCAAGACGATTATGGCATTCTTTCCTTATCGTGTTAACCGAAAATAACCGTTCTGATTTTGGTTGCCTAGTTCACCCACTAATCGTTGGTTATTGAATCGACTGATAGCCATCATCATTCAGTTATTCATCAACGTCAACCATGCCTACTTTGATCCGCTTTAATCCTTTCATGTTGCCGTTTAGGTTTTCTTTCTTAGATCAGATTACTTTGATTCCCTTGGAGGTCTCACCCATAGGAACTTCCGGAATAAGGCCATCCGTCTTTCTGGTACTTATTGGAATATTTTTCTCCTTCGTCGTCACCTCCAGCATGTTTATCACATTTAAATGGGACGGTTAGAAACATTTCGCTCTTAACATGTCTTTCCTTTCTTGTAGTCACACACCTCACATTTTTCGTTCACGCGCGTGTTTCAATGATCGTAAAATACCAGCATACTTTCAAGATATTGTATTTGTTCCACACTTACTCATCCGCTGCCAACCAAAGCTAAATAGCTACTCATTTACCCAGTACTATGTGCGTAAATGCCTAAGGTGTTATGTAGAAAGGAACTTTGTTTGTTATACTTTTTTCACAAATGGATGGAGAATTCTATAATTTGAACTTTTGTCCAGATTTGGCGGGTTCGAAGTTAGACGTACGATGTTGTGGACCGAAAGTCGATCTCTTGATAGTGTTTGATCTAAACGGATCATGTTCGTTGCTACGTGTGTTTCGCCTATCGTCGGGAAAAATCCGAAACGGTTGGAGGTGAGGTTGAAATGTTCAGTCCATTGGGGTGACGGGAATGTATGATAATCTCACTCAGTAAGCTCATCGGTGTGTGATTCAATGTGCTCCTAGATAAAGGTTTATGAGACCTACTTGCTGAATGATTGGAGATAATAAGTGAGATGACCAAGTGTTGCTGTCTGTGGCATACTTTTATTCGGACTCCGCCTTCGTGATTTTCAATTGTATCTTCCTTAACTACGTTTTCTATTCCTTATATTTCGATTTATTTCATCACCAGTTGCTCGATACTGCCAGGTTGCAGCCTTAATCAAGACGGTGAATTTCAAGTACAGTGACTGAATAAACTGAGCTCAGGTGAATTGGCACAGCTTTGATTGGTTCTTAGGTGTTTATCCGGGAAATATTTCTTTCTCTGTTCTGCCTACGCGACCCCAAAGCTTGATTTCATGCAACTTTTGCACTGTGAAAGATGCTTCGCCTATGTGATCATATCATGCTAATGATGCTGCGTTTGGAACCTAGTCAACAGCTAGGCAGATTGACCACAAAAAGCCTGGTTAACCCGAGCCATAAGTGCAAATGTCATTATGAATATTTCGCTCTAGGCCTGCTGAAAGTATATCTTCCACGGGGGGCTTCCCATAGCCACAACATCGATTTGACGGAAATATTCGCTTTGGAAATTGAAGCGAATGTTTTCTGCACACAACAGAATGAGTCGTACCATTTCCGATATTGGAATCAGAAGGTTGGTATTTTTGTCATTTGCAAAGTCACAGATAAGCATCCAAGTTTCTAGCAAGGGTGCGCTAGTAAACAGCGACGATTCGTCCGTACTGGGTGTTTCACACTTATCTGTTTCAGTAATTTTACCAACTAAAAACTTATCTTCTGGCTGTGAACATACAACTTTTTAGCATTGCGTTTTTAAACCCGTTGAAAATTTTAATATTGGGGCGAACGCGTCAGGGATAAAATCGATCTCAATGGAATCTGTGGTTTATGTAACTTTGGGAATCCTTATAGTGTCTGAGATTCCCATTGTTTCAAACGTTTAACCGTTGATTCATTTAGGAATCCACCTTCCAACAGTGTCTGCACTCCCTGTGAAACAGCTCTTTTGGCTGCAACTGCGCTATCTTATTTAACGCATGCCTTAAATTTCCTATGATCTTTCAGTATTTCCTCATTTTTGATATGCAGCCACGCCTGTCCATTACAGCTGCGCTTGATTTTTTGTCTGATTGTTACAGCGGCGAGTTTTTTCGTCTGGTTTTATGTGACTTGCGGTGACGATATATTGTGTTTAGAAGAAGGGCATCTGTATCGATTTCCTGGATCTGCATGTTTTGCTTTGAACTAACTTGGGGCGTCGGTCGACTTTGGCTGCCTTCTCGATAGCTGGTCCGGAAAGTATTCAGGGCTGAGCTGGGTTTTGATCATGTCTATCTTCTGTAGAATGTCTTACTTGAGTCCACGCGGTAGTCCATCAGTTTCCTCCCAATTTAATTGGAAAGAGGAGCAAAATCTGCACGCAAACTCCTCGAAACCTTGCTGTTCAAGTTGTACGTTGATGGCGTTTTTGTCAAGGCGGGTATATCACCTTCAACTGGTTGGTCTCACAGGCGACGACTCGGACGTTTGTCTGTTCGCGCATCAACTACGCGCCAGCATAACTGAATCTCATTATTATTATTATTATTATTTTTACACTCGCTGGAAATCAAGCATAGTACGAACGCAACAATAACAATAACGAAAATGGGAGGTGATACACAGAACAGAGAATAACAGTCAGTCTTTGTATCATTAGTGTCTTTCATGGTTGTTCGCATTATGGGCTGTTGTACTACTCGGTCGCCAAGGCTATAGTAGGCTTTTTCGAAGATATACCTCTAGCCATTGCGCAGCCGAGCGCGTATTGCAAAGCAGCAGCGTTGGTCCAGATGAGCCGGTGGTCGATTACATAGTTCATTTGTCTCTTTTGGAAACCTTGTCGGGTAAATGGAACACTGCAAAGAGCAATGACATTTATTGGTGAGTCTCACTCTCCGCGTCACACTACCGTCAGCAGAGTTATGGCTGTTTGGAGCTGAAAATGTCAGCCGAACAGAAATTCCACCGCATCCTCGAGCACCGCCACTGTTCGTTCATGACGGCTGATTTGGTGAGTCCATGTTATTCGCGGTTTATTGGGGTTCCGACCGTTCCCCTATCCGCGACTTGGAGACGCAACCGGTAACACACAGCTCAGCTCTGTCCAGATTGGATAGTCTGTTAGAAACCCTTTCCTGACCCGTTTTGGGTGTGTTCAACCAAGCGTTTAGGCAACATTAACCTGATCGTTTTCACCGAAATGACACTAAGTCAGTGACCAATAGGGCTCGTCCTGCTGTTTAACGCTGTACGATGATGACGATTCGATTCAGGTTTCTGGGTTATTTGTATGAATTGCAATTCCCCTGTGTGACCTAGAAATTTTTTTGTTATTACATGCATGCACCTGAGTGCAGTGGAAGGGGTATACCCCGTAGCCTCAAAAACGCACTGCAGTATTAGGGATAGCCAGCAACCTGACCTGATAATCGGGTTAGATAATCACATAAAGTCCCAATAGGTCAGCTGAGGTGACGAGCCGGACGACGGTGAATTATTGCCTACCGTTAAAGTAACCGGTGATGGTGGGGACTCGAATCTGGGATATCTGAGGCGGTAATCAATTGCTCTAAACCACTCAACCACCACCGGTCATTCACAATGCCCTCAACTCGTTCGGTGCAGGCCGTCAGGCCACAGTATCTCAAATATGAAGCTAGCCGATAAACTTGTCGTGGCTTCACAAGTTGTTGTTTCTCAGTTGCGATGAGAAGCCAAAACGGAACCACTGTGTAGCGTGCAGTCTTCGGGGGTTATTTCGGAAGCGATGCTGGGCAGTTTATTCTTTTGGTTGGGAAGCGTTCGCTCAAACAGCCTGATTCATTGATCAGGCGTGGTTTATTTTTATAATGGGAATTGTCCTTTTTCACCAATGAAATTTTCTTCAGTTTGCCCTTTAGTGATGGGTAAAACTCTTCAACCGCTTGGTTCCTTACCACGCCCTTCCTGTTATGGCGGAACGTAGTTCTGTACTGCAGTTTTAATCATCGTGATTGCCCGTTCTTTTTAGTAAAACTGGCCATTTGTGTTTATCGTTATACATCTTCAATCAAACTTATGCGTCAGCATGACATGGAAGACTACATGCAGTAATCCACCAAGTTCGGTTCAATCAGCACATGAATGGGGTATTTTTAATCACTTGCTTGTTTCATTTATTAGACGACGAAACTCGATATTTCTGTATGAGAGTCGCGGACCGTCAAAGGTTATCACGTAAGAAAGTGAGCGGCGGTGAAAAGATTCGAACGCAGGACGTCAAGCGGTAAAGAACGCGATTATGGCCGTTTGACCACATCCGGCTATGTCTCCTATCGGAAGATACAAGCGCGACGTTACATTAGCTTTGCACACGTCTACAACTGCTGTTCTGACTTTGAATAATTCAGTCAGTGATTCTGATCGAAGAGGCAGCAGAAATAAGAAGTTTTTTGTTGATCAATCATAAGTCATTTTGAGCGATGAGGCGATTCGATTACTGTGTTTATTTCCAATAACAGGTGATAAATTTTCCGGAGTGGTAATGTTTTAATCATGCACCATCTCCGCATGGCCCCGGATGAATAGGTTTTCAATCAGTTTGGGTGTGTCGTTTTTTGGGGCTTATAATGTCCGTTTCATGGCAAAATGAGGAAAATTATCTGCTCTCTCGAAAATAGCCGCGATTGACATGTTCATCTGTCTGCTCTCTAAGGTATTGTTAGAGATGGTGGTCAGAGGTATCCGTCCTAACTGAAGGTTGGTTATCATTCTTACAACTTTGTTCTCTGTCAAACTCCATTCTCCAGTAAAACTTGTCACTCCGTTATTTACGGTGATTGGAGCGATCTAGTTGTGTTTAGTGAGATGTTAAACATTTTGTCGGCACAGGGTTGAGCTACGGCGTGCTTGGTTGTTTCACATCATGCTTTGCAAACTGTGCTGGCTGAATGGGAATGATAAGCTCACGTGTTCGGTTGTTTTTTAGAATTCCAATAAAGGAATGTACGCGAACTCAGACTCTGAAAGCCCCCAGTCACCGGAACAAGCTGCCCGAATCCAACTTCGCAAAGCCCGAAAAGTCTTGGCAGAGCGACGTAATTCCAAGCCGTCCATTTGTGTGCCTATCGTGCCTCGTGCGAAAATCGAGGTGAGTCATATTTGCTGTCATCGACTTCATGGGGAACTCTTCGGTAGCGCCGAGTTCTCCACCACAGTGGTTTGCCACCATTCCTCCGGTAAATGCGTAAAACATGTGAAATAATGCGACGCCTAATCTAGTGAATAGGCTTCGGTTTTCTCCATAAGTCTTCGTCGTTGTCCTAAATGCACTCCCCGTGTGGCGAATAATAACATGTACCCCGGTTATATTGTAAAGGACTGGCCGGATAGTTTTTTTTCAATACAAACCACTGTATCTATTGTTATCAGCATTCATGGCCTAACTCACACTTCCAGCAGTAGATCAAATGTACCGGTGATTCTGAGTTACTCAAAGGACATTGAAGTGTTACTGTGATCAGAGGTGGCATTGCCCGGCGATTTCGCAGGCGTTGTGCGCCTATCGTGATCTTTTCCCTGTGTGGGGCTTATTTACGCCAAGTTCAGTCTGTACTTATTCAGTCAATCGTGACGTGCTCATTATGTGCCCTGGTGATACTAAGCATAGCGATCAAGATTTTCGCAGTTATTCTTTTAGACTGGCTTTTTGCTTCACGGGATGTGCAAACGAGCCCTAACCAATTCGGTTCTCATCGAGGGAGATTATTATGACCAAGTCTTCATAATGCGGTGAATTAAAGAACACTACTACAAACTCCGACTACCATTAAATTTGGCACCACTTTCGATCTTATCAGAAAAAAAAAACAATCACTGGAGTATGCTGTGAACTGGTGGGATGCCCGGGCAGTACATACGGCTGTTGAGGTGGTAGTATTCGGCAGCACGGTGGTGCGTATGTACCTATGTCGAAGAGTCTTCTGGATTTCCGCTTGACTCCGGCTTCCAGCAAGCCTGCCACTTGTCGCCAGTCCTAATCATCTACATCAAACGTTTTTAATGAATCGCACCCTGGCCCACTATCAATGAATTCTACTGAACCAGGAGTCTTGGGTTGTGGATCTCTTATTTGGTTATTCCTTTGTCATTTCAGGGAATGAGCCCGGCAGCCGATTTTCAGTCGTATCGAGCACGAGCTCAAGATAATCGATCTTTAAATGAACACCTCAAAGACCAAGTTCTTCACGACTTTCCTAGATCCGACGTGCTCAGTCCACGTCAATAGTGACAACTTGGAACCGGTTTATGATTTCAAGTATCTCGGATAACGCACAACGGGGGGGGGGGGGGGGGACACACGCAACACGTCTCAACCATCTTAGTCCAGTCAGTTTAGGTGTTTCATCTAATGATTTGGTTCGTATGCCTAGCCTCAGCATTGCTTATACGGTGTTCCCATCAGATTCGAGCAATGCTACGGAAATATCGGTGTTCAAACGCCGGTCCTCCACCAGCACTGACCATATTTCTGATCCATAAAGAGGAATCCTTCTAACTGCGGCAACGTACACTCGACCCTTGATAGGTAAACGAATTTCATGTCGATGCCACAGATGACTCAAGTTGGCAAAACCCAAACGAGTCTCATGTATACACAAAGACACCTCCGAGTGGAATGCAACTTCCCGGACAACCGAACTTGTTTATCTGGTCTTTAGTCTCCGCGACTCCCAAATGGTTCGGTGTTGGACTAACCCAATCCTGCAACAGCATCTTACACTTTGAAAGTACAAAACGCACACCGAACATTGCTACGCAATCGTCCAACCTCTCCAGAAAAGCTCACAACTTACCTGGATCCTCACTTAGAAGAATTATGTCATGATCGTGCATATTCATGGTCTGAAACCTTTCCACTTTGTAAAGTTCAGCTATCCCCGCGATCTCTAGAACCATATCAGTCACGAAGTTAAAGAGAAAAATGGAGCAAAACGGCAACCGCGAAGTGCCACAAGTTTTATGGTTAACTCGAGCGAAAGATCACCGTAAACCCAAGCACAGCTTCGGCTATTCGTGTGGGGGGCTTCATGATTGAATTGATTTTCTCTGGTGCACCCTTCAGCGAAAGAGAGTGCCGAGTAACCGTTCGGTCGATTGGGTCGAAGACAGCTTTAAGATCAAGAAAAACGAAGATAGTGTCTGCGGAAAGTGTGCCTATGCTCAAGAATTTGTCGAAGAGTGAAGATGTGGTCAACACAACCTTGACCACTTCTAAATCTTGCTTGGTTCTCGCGTGAACACTGTTCACGATCTTTTGATTAGCGGTTGAGAATAATGCAAAGGGGCAGTTTAAATGCGGTGGTTTCACAGGAGGAGCTGTCACCTCTTGTAAATCGATACGATCACTGATTCACGTCAACTCTCTAGAGCTTGTCCCTGTTCTCCCATATCAAACATAGTTGTGTCCACTCCAGTGACAAGGCTGAGCCACCGTCTTTGAGAATAGACGAAGGCAACCCAGCCGAACCGGTAGCCTTATGTCGTTTAAAGTAACCTATCTCACAGAGAAACTCCGCCTCTGATGGAGGATTTGTATCTGCAACTAGAGCTGCAACCATCGTGCTGGTTAGCGAACCTGTCCTGAATAAACGCCAGCTAATTTACTTCTCTAAATGCTCGATCCAGCGATCTAAACAACGCCCCTGAATGAGTGCATAAGTGTTATGGGAGGGATATGCACCCAATACCCACGAAGACCCACTGAACGACTAGGGATAACCGGCCACCAGACCCTGAGACTTGGAGTGGAAAACCACGTAGGTCTGGTGTGGTAACGATCCGGATAACATTGGATTATTTTCGACCACCGCAGTAACCAGTGATAATGAGGATTCTAACTTCTGACCTCCGAGGTGATGATTAGACGCTCCAAACCACTCGACCGCCACCGGTCAGGTATCTGATGAGCGGAAGATTTGAGTTTCAGTCAAAAAAGGGCTAGATGATCAAACGGTTTTATAAATTGGTGTACCGTGACAATGTTATGGTTCAGTCCGTGAATATCAGTGAGGGTAATGGGTTCGAGTAAGAGAGGGAGAGTGAGAGAGCGTGTGTGATTCTGTATTGTCATAATTCACAGTGTGAGTAGAAAACCGGCAACTATGATCCTGAGACTTAGTGTGACGAACCACCTAAGGACTCAATAGATCAGACGTGGTAGGGAGTCGAGTGGTAGGCTGTTTAACCTGGATTTCAATCAAAGTGCTTTTTCAAGCGGTTGACAGTCACTTTCGCGTGACGTCATCCCACCGAACAAACTAAGGAATCTAATCATAATTAGTTTCGGCGCACTACGTAGTGGTTGCAGTTATGGATAACACAGTTATCAGCCTAACCTTTTTGATGTTTCGTTCAGGCCTGTGATTGCGGAAGTTTCCGGCCGTCATGGTTTAGCACAACGGGTTGACTAAGTGGCAGTCGGAGTAACATTTGGAAATATCAGATAAGAATCAGGACTTTTGTACTTTCAATGTGACATCACTCTACTGAGGATTCGTGACCACCCGATTTTGGTCTTCCATGAACATATCTATCATTCCTCTCCTCGTTCTGCCTGGAGTTTTTGCCGATACGTTTTTTGCGCGTCTGCTTTTGATTTTGTATGTGGTCTGTGTTACTGATATTTTGTCTGTTTGTTCGTCCAGAACATTGCTTCATGTCTGCAAGACGTGTCGGGCGACGTGTTATCTTTCCTGCAAAAAGCCTATGTGTTTTGGAAACTGAAGAGGGAATCTCGACGAGGGGTTCCATTGCTCAAACGTTTGCAGGCGGGTTCAGCTCACAGAAGTGCTGCCAACTTTGTGAGTCATGTTTATTTTTGTCAGATTATTGTCCCCTAGTTTTCTCATCCGACCAACTTCGTTGCAAACGTGTCTTTACTGTTCGTCTTGGAATCGATTTCTTTTGTGCTGAGTTTTACTGCGGTGATTCGATCATCCCATTTCTCTTATTTCACTTCCTATTGAAAGTTATTTGTTTCAATGACAATAGTCTATGTATGAAGGCTAAAATCGGTTCAGAGTGTGTCGAAAAAAATAATGTACCATATGATATTGCACACAAGCGTTTGATGTTCCGTAACGGCGTTATCAGAAATGATGGTAGTCTGTGGAAATTCCGCTTACCGCAGTTAACCTTTCTCCATACCGGTTTACAACCGAATGATCTTGGGATAATAATCTAAAGCCACTGAGTGTCAAGCTGTACGCATATTATGGGTGTGGGGATGGATCTCCGTGGCGGCGGGATCTTTCGAGGCTAACAAGGTGTTGTGACCTTTGTAAAGTCACCAGTGTTGATGCCGTCCATATACCTGGAATTCTTTCCCCATTGTTTTACTTGAAGCAGGTAGAGTAGGCGCCAATTGTCATAGCTTCGGCCTATATGCGCTCAGTTTGTGCATGGAAACCCCGTTAGAGGATTCTGGTGTAGCCGTAATCAGTGGTGTGGTTTTCGGTTTTAACGCGGAAAGCGACTATCGAGTCACGCTCAGGTTTAGTTAAGGTTATTTCGCCAGTCGCCCTGCATTTTTCTCTCCCTTTAAGTTCCAAAAGCCTAACCTTCCACTGTCTGCACGTGTGTCCGATGTATTCAGCAGGGTAGTCCTGGCGACTGGTCTCGTAAATCCAATTTACTTGGTTTTGCATCGTAAGCAAGATCTTAGTTTTTGCGAATGGACTTTGCAATGTATTGTCTATCCGGACACCACAGATACCAAATGCTTTTCAGATTGCCTCCATGATTCCTGACCTGCATGGAATGTTGATAAAACTAGTTAGTGTGTTTTTCTCTTATCGTTTGTGGTTGTTTTGTTCTTCAGTTACTACCTGGTCAGCCGTAGTGGGTGGTTGTTGTCCTGGAGGACAGTCTGCATGCATCTCATTTTTTTCGTGTGATGTTTATATTACAGTTTGTCGACTCGGTTAGCGATGAGGCTAACGTACATTTAATAATTTGCAATTGAGTAGTAGGAGATTAGATTTGTATATAATATGATTCATCATGCAGCTTGAACGCTCAACTCACCATTGAAAACCATGGAAGCACTGTACAGCTGTTTCATCCTTGTTGGGAATCATCAATTGCAAATAGTAACCAAGCTCTGTAGGTTGTTCATAACGGAATGCCTTCGTTGTACTTAGGCCCCTACAGAGAAGTCATCCATCATTGGAGTCGATCGCTGTGTGGGAAGCGGGTTGTTACCGTTCAAAAGCCAGTTTGAGAAGGGTGCTATGTCATGTAGTGTAGATGTTCAACAAACCGTTGAGAGCGAGTGCAGATAGCCTTGCGGTTAAGGTGTTCGATTCACAATCGTTCACCCCGGGTTCGAGTCCCCGTGGGGGCTCGGTGGATGTGCACTACTGATGATTCCCAACAAGGATGAAACAGCTGTACAGTGCTTCCATGGTTTTCAGTGGTGAGTTGAGCATTCAAGCTGCATGATGAATCATATTATGTACATTTAATACACTGTGCATAGGCCAAATCTAAATTCAGATATCTTACAGAGCGTGTAGACTTTATGTGAATGCTCATTGCGAATGTTCCGGAGTCATTCACTTGTAACCGACAGTCTAGGAAATTGATAACCTCGCTGCTTTCTTTTTCCGTTGTGAAGTTGATCGAGCCACTCTAGTTGTTGAAACACTTAAGGATGCTACCTTTGTGTTTCGATTTTAAAATCACAAATGTATCATCGAGGTACCTAATATGACTCCATGGGGGATTATGCAAAGCAATCTACGATTCGCATTCGGTTGAGTGCGAAATGGTTAGCCACAATGGGTGATACGTGAATCTCATGATCACGCCGTCAGTCCGTCTTCGTAATGTGTCTGAAAGCAACGTAAATTGAAGTGAGACAGTTCAACACCAATAACGAAATCCGAAGAATTTAATAGACATCTAGAGGAGCATCGGTAATGAACATGTAATGTAGAAAATCAAAACTGTTTTGTATGTGAACGTTCGTATAGAGGGATGCCTCGAAGCTCACTGCGGTTTCATCGCTCTCTAGAACAAAAGTTCGGAGAATGCGGACAAAACCAAAGGTATCATTTATTTGATAAGAGTCTCATAAATGGTCGAGGTATTTGGATAAAATGTAAGTTGCACATGGCGTATAGTCTACGGTTGAGCGAATTGGTCTACCAGGTTTATGATTTTTCGCAATCAGGTTTTTTGATCCTCGATGCCAAAGCAGACCACAATGACTTTCCGAGTTTTTCTTTCGAACGATCGTAAACTGTAAACCTTGTACAACTTACACGTTAGCGGACATATGAACACTACTGTGACTGAGTGTTTGAACCCCCAACCTCACTGAGTTACTTTGACTCACTAGGAAATGACATGGTTTACAGCTGACTGATGTCGGGATTTCTCAAACTCTAACCAAAATGACCGGAGAAATACACTGGTGCCGTTACTGACAGTCTTCCTTCATACTGGCCCTTGTTTTTATTTCTTTATCCGGATATGAGGACTGTGCACCAAACGCAATTCTGCCAAATTTTGAGCTATTCAGTCAAATTAATCTTTTGACCAAATTACTTGTGACACAAAGCTGTTTCGTTCCATTGTTAGAACCGTTGTCTTAGATTTGGCGGATTATTGGTCTCATACTTTTAAGCGAAGGCTGTTTGAACTGAGATATATCAACACCGAAGTGCTTCGAACCTACGTGTATGGCACGATAAATCCACTCCACTTTGAACAACCCTTTCGATTTAGTTGGCATCATTCAGCGTAAAGTCACTTTGCTTAAGGTTCACGTATGTTCAGCTCTTACACTCGGTGATTCAATCGAGTAGAGCTTGTTTCTCATCGCTCACCATGCTTCGCGTAATCGAAATCCAGTTCGGCAAGGGTGATGCTGCAACCTTTCTCATTCAAATTCTTCTGATCTGTTTACTCCGAGTTGTACAGCTTGTCCTTCTGTACTGCTTTGAAGTAAACATTTGGGAACCGTAACAAGAAATTGCATATTTTTATGCTACTTCACTGTTTAGTATGCGCATCCGGTACATGTCGAAGTAGTTTGTGAAGCCCTAACCAGAGGCTCTATGAAATGGCCAAAATATTCATACCATGAACTACAATGTATGGTAGTTTGTACCATGAAATATAAAACTATGATCACTTGGCTCTCTGCTCATGATAATAGTGACAAGTGTGTAATATAATGGGGACCAAATGCCTTCGTTCGTCCGATATTTATGGTTGATAGCATTCCAAGAAGTTCCATTTTGTGACCATGACACAAGCATTCGTATATTTTGATCTACTACGTGTTCGGTCGTCTGTCAGTACAATGGAAAGCCACGATATGTTTGAGAGGATAAGTACGGGTTTCTTGTACACAAAATAACTGACGGGGACTACTTGTTTAAACATAGTTTAGTAAAAGAATATTTGTCCATCAAGAGTAGAGATAGATTCACCTTGTTATTCTCTTTTATTTCCAAGGCTGCCTCCGTTGACTCAGAAGCCCAACAAATGAGAGCACAACTTAAATTCTGGCAGCAACTACGCCAAGATTTGGAGAAAGCGCGTCTTCTGGCTGAACTGATTCGGAAACGAGAACGTGTAAAAAGAGAGATGTTCCGTTTGTTTGTCGACGAAATTCACTTGCAAATTCAACCACTAAAAACGTTTCTTTCGCGCGTATTGGATCAACTGCAGGTAACAGTTTTGTCGGCGATAATACTCTTTCTCGTTCTTCCAGCCAGGTTAATTAGTTTCAAAAACGTGCATATGCATTTTAAATATATATATATATATATATATATATATATATATATATATATATATATATATATATATATATATATATATATATATATATATATATATATATATATATATATATATATATATATATATATCTTATTGCTTTCATTCCACATCATTCATCCTCACAGTGCTATCTAAATGATTGGAAATTCAAACATCTCGTAGGCTTGTTGGCTACTAGCAGTTGCTTTAGTAATAAAAACTGGAATTCAGCCGACATAGACTGTTTTCGGAATCATCAAACAGACTGTACGCAAAGTATTTGCCTACTTTTTGGAAGTCCAGTCGTAAACCTACAACTACACTGCTCCATACAAATAGAAAAGCTTTTTACCAATGAATTGGTCCTCGTGTTCCACTGAACAACTTTACTGTTTTTGGTTCAGAGCCTCGACAACCAGTCATTCTTTGCGGAGCCTGTTGGTCCTGATCTCGCCCCGGATTATCACTTGATCATCAAATATCCCATGGATTTTTCCACTATGCGAAACAAAATTGAGAATTCCGTCTATTCCGGATTGGATGACTTGAAAGCAGATTTTCAGCTTATGATGGACAATTGTCTTCAGTACAATCACGAAGACAGCGCCTACTGTGTTGCAGCAAATCATCTCACCGAACAAGTAAGCCTAGTTTAAGCAATACAGGTTCCGGCTGTTGTTTACTATCAATGTTTTTGGGACATGAAATGTCCTTGTTTTGGTACTTGTCTTTCTCTTTGTCGTATTTTACACTACCTCTGCGTTGAAAGTGTCACATCAGCACTGGTGTAGTCTGATCACCTAACTTGGTTAGCAACAGCCAGCTCGTCAGATTCCTATAAAACAGCTTTTTTCATGCAATTTTCACTTGAGCACCGCAGTGCATTTCTTTTAAATGACTCACTAAGCTTATCCAAAATAACCGTCTGCACTAACTCCCCTAGTTCGCTATTTATTACTGTGAGAGTATCTGCTAACGCATCGATGGACAGCCTAGTTCCGTTAGCAGACAGCACGTCTTCGTAAGTCCATAATCGATGGAAAAGCTCAGGCTAGTAAAGCGGGTCAAAGGCTCAGTCAGTTCGTGACGAAACGGAACGAAACCGTCCAATCAGCCGCGAACATTTGCCCTTACTGAACCGAGTGGAGTCAACCAATCAGCGGTGTTTTAGGTGGACGCAACGTAATCAACCAACCGGCAGCCGAAAGTTGCTTTAATCGAACATAACGAAAATCAGTCAATCAGTGGCCAATAGTTGTTTTAACCGGCTTTGAAGAAGTCAGCCATTCAGAAAACCCGGTAGTGCGAACAGCTCTGAACCAATGAGCTTTATACCATGATTTTGATGTTGGTTATCTTGTATTTTGTATGAACTAATTTTATTCAAAATAAACTAGATGATTCGAAGGCAAAAGAATTTTCTCACTAGAGCTAATGGAACGAAACATAACAGCTACTGGCCCCATTGACACTATCTGAGTCCAGTTTCACGGAATGATGAGTGAGCTCCCGTATGTCATTCGTTTCTGTATGTAAACGAGATGCTGTGACGTGTTCGCTCATAAAACTCGTGCACCTCTTGGGAGGTTATGATAAATCTTTACTTCTTTTTTTCGAATTTTCGTGTCACAACAACACTCAATACAAGTTTGCTTGGTGTTGTCTCATAAGTACGGTTTTCAACTTTGGAAGATAGTCTATACGTTCTTGTTGTGGCTCCATCGGCTACCATATTGTGATCCCTTTTGGCGCTCTGGTCACGGTCAATTAAATTTCATCAAAGACTCAGGATTTCGCAAGAGTCGTTGAGTATAATGCAGCAAAGGCGTCAGCCCTTGAACTGTAAGGAGATGAATAAGGTACGCAGACATCTACAAAGGCAAGTTACAAAATGTCTTAAGAATGATCGCGAAAATTGGTGGGTCAAGGTAGCTGCTTCAGGTAACAGTCAAAGGCTGTTCAAACTTATTCGTGACACCGATGGACTGCGCACCCAGGTCAGTGAAACGATTCGCGATAGAAATGGAGCACCCATCCATGGCAAACAGCAAAGGCTTGATCGTTGGGCCGAATACTTCAAGGAACAGTTTAGCTGGCCGCACGCAAGTGTAGTTACTCCTGTGTCAACAGCTGAGACGTCTTGGCTGGTATCACTTGAGCCCCCATCGGAAGTAGAAGAAGAGTCATGCATTCGATTACTAAAGCGGGGGAATGCGGCAGGCCCCGCGAACTTCCCCCAGTTCTTTTAAAACTGGGTGAAGATGCCTTGACAAAATCAATTACCACCTCGTTCCGTAACATTTGGAACGACGAGCGTATTCCGTTAATATGGAGCGAGCCATTGATTATGCCCATCTTTATGAATAGAATACGCGGTGATTGTTGTAACCATCGTGGGATCAGCTTGATTCCGATGGTGTCCAAGGTGTTAGCCTCGATTTTGCTGCGCCATCTTGCACCGGCTCGCGAGAGGAACGCCCGCGAACAACAGGCCGGATTCCACCCAGGTCGAGGATGCATCGACCAGATTTTTACTCTTCGCCAATTACTTGAAACGCGCCACACACCGTCGACCGACAGTAATGGTTCTCCTCGACTTGGAAGGCGCCTTCGATTCAGTTGATTGAACAGCGCCATTTGGTGCTCTCCACCGAAAAGCTATGCCACAGAAGTTCGTGAACCTACTGAGATCATTGTACTCTCTTAATTCTCGTCGCGTAAGGGTTTACGGTGAACTATATAGTCCATTCGAAACGACCAGCGGCGTTCGACAAGGATGTCCTATTTCGCCATTTCTGTTCAACTTCGTCACTGACGAGATAATGGAAAATGCCCTGTGAAATCTTCAGGATGTAGGCATCGAACTGAAAAATGATGAAAAGCTGTGACCTAGATTACGCCGACGACGTTGTCTGCTTGTTCGAATCCACGGAACACGCTGAACGTGCACTGGGTAGACTCGCAAGAGCTGCAACTCCATTTGGCATACGCGTTGCACCTCCAAAGTGTGAAGTGATGTTGCAAGACTGAATGCCAACGGTTCCGAGCTTGGTGCTCGATGCGGAGGTGCTGGCAAGTGTCAACCGGTTCACTTGCCCCGGCAGTAGCGTAACGACGGATGGGAGCACAGTAGTAGAGATGGGGATGCGCATATCCAAGGCTCTAGTAGTTTACGCTGGACTGAAGCACTTGTGGCGGCGACCTGATATTTCACTGAAGTTAAAAGGTCGTGTATACTTTGCTACGGTGCGTTCAGTTTTGTTGTATGTTTGCGAAACTTAGGGTCTGCGTGCGAAAGATGTTCGTCGTCTTGATGATTCGACCACAGATTTTTGCGTAGTATCGCTAGAATTGGGTGGAATAATCGAGTATTGCTTACTAATTCAGAGAACGTTCGGTCACAGAGTATCCAACTTTGTAGGCTTCGTCGGTTGGGGCACGTGTTACGTATGTCAAACACACGTCTGCCATACCGTGCCCTATTATCCGTTACTCCTCGGGAGTGGAAGAAACCACGTGGAGGTCAACAGATGACGTGACATCGAGGAGTGAGGAAATGTATAGCAGACTTAGAAAAAGTAGGTGCTTCACGTCTTCGTGGTTGGGGTCCAAAAGATCCGTCTACCAGTTGGCTGGAGACACTGAAGGATATGGCTGCGAACCGCGAACAGTGGCGACCGTGTTGTCACTTTCTGTCGAATCAGAATGATTGATTGGTGTGCGTTTGTACAGTTAGACTGTATTCTGTGTGTTGGCTACTAGGGCATTCTTTCCTTTTCCCACCCATGTACGTCCACTCCCTGACCATCTTGTATAATCAAACTTTCTAATTCAACGTGCAAGATGATGAGAAAGGCAGTGGTCAGTGGGGCTTGCCCTACTGTTTAACGCTGTACGATGATAATGATGATGAATAAAAGTGATTATCTCTCCCAGGTAACATGAGAAACCCGTTGCAGAAAAAGAGCTGTTGGTTATGTTTTCTTCAGTTGCGTTATCAGCTAAACATTTCGCGCTTCCGAGCTACATTTCTTATCCGTGTTTAAGTCATAATGTGTTTCCTCTTAAGCGACGCTATTCAGTCGGCCGTCTAACTATTGGTGTATCCGTTCACTTATTCCTGTGGGATAATATGTATCGATACACAACCATCTGAATGTCTAGAGGCATACGTGAATAGCACTATTCTCGACTGTGGACAACCAGTCGCCAGTTTAATGATTTCACGCCCATTCGAGACAATTCATACGATGAGTGTAGCCAACGCTTCTCCCTCTTATATAGATTTCGGGGTCTGTTGTTCACACAAGTGATGTGTTGCATCCGAACCATACCAAAAGCCGTCAAAATTCGGCACACTGTTCATCATCCGTGGACGAATTGTATCCCACGACAAGTGCTAGAGTGGTCGAAAGCTAGCACTCCGTATTAGAGGAATCCGTACCTAGCTAAAATTAGATCCAGGACAGTAGAAGTGAACAGTATCCATTGTCATGTTCCTTCTTTTACTCGACACCTCTTATATCTGGTCATTGTATTGACTTGATCAGGACACCTGAAAACAAGCCCGCTCACCAGTGTTTTGTAAATGTTATTCTTAGATTTAGTTTAATTTTATTTTCCTTCACGTCAGTATCCACAGTTTCACTGACTGATAAATCATATTCTTTCCGGTGTTCACTTGCAGAATTTTGAGTAACATCGCATGTCGTGTTCCCACCATGTAGCTGATGCACTGTTGATTAGTGTAACACAACTAATGAACTATATGTGCTTTTCATTCTTCCCACTCAGAGTATACACATATTCCGTGAAGCTACTTTGATGGCTCGAAAAATCGGTTTATGTTTGAAAATTGGGCTCCTGTTTCTCGATCAGAAAGATCTGCCTCAGTCAGGTTTCAGTGATCTCCCCACTGCTAATGAAACTACTCAAGTGAAAGAAAACTATCTCAGTCCAATATCCATTGAGCCAGCGCCCGCATCTGGAGTCGAACCGGCCATATCGACTGAAACGCTTTTGGTCCACACTCCTTTTACTCTCAACGAGTCAGTACAAACTCTTCCTCTGAAAGAATTGGCTAATGGTCCGGTTGCATCCACCACTCGCAGTCGCTTTCGAATCTCCAGTCCCGTTCATGATCTCATAAAACAAGAGGGGGATCTGCGCACATTCACGAGTCATTTAAACATGGCTGAATATCTTTTCCGGCAATCTCGCAAGAGACGGTACGTGTCCTTCTCTTTTTGGCTTCTAGGGCACACCAGACGTGGATAACGTGGACTTATCCAATACCGGGATTACCTCTTTATGTGCTTGCGCATGAGTTTAGCGGGAAGGGGTATACCCCACAGCCGCAGAAGTCCATTGCACTATTAGGGGTAACCGGCCACCAGACCCCGAGACTTGAAGTGGATAACCACATAAGGTCCCACGAGGTCAAGTGTGATAACGAGCCGGGCAACAGTGGATTACTGTCTACCACTTATTAATGTTTAATGGCAAAGTCAAGTAGGTTTTCACGATTTTCATGCGTAGCGTCTTATTTTCGAACATCGGAATTTTTTTCGTCGGCCGGCAGTGGTCAAACGGCCATTGTGATGAACTCTGAATCCTCCCGTCCCTGGTTCGAATCTGTCACTTTCACCTACTGACAGTCTCTGATTGACCTCGAGCCCCTTCCTGAAATATTGTGCAATTATTATACAGTAAAAAGGAAGTAAATAATAAAGGATAAATGTATGGATGAAAATTCCCCTCCATTTTCACCTTGATTCGTCGGTGGATTTGAGTCGTTTTCCAAATTCAGAACGGATTTGTGGTTATTTACGATTAACTGTCAGCACGGCTCTACTCAATGGAAACATTGCTCTTCACGTGACGTAGCCAAATGTTGCTCTATAGTACCGATATTCCAACCCACATTTATAGTGTTTTTAATGGTAATACTACTTGCATACCTTTCCGACTATATCTGCTTATCTAGTAAACGAAGACATTCGAGCTCAGGAATGATGTATTCTTAGCTTAAATTGATGAACTGACTCATACTGTTAGTAATCACCTCATTACTACTTATCCTATCGTCACCATCCTTTCTTAATTTTTTGAAGACCCCCGATTGACACGCAGCAGTATATAGTCTCTCTTATTTTTATGATAAACGGACCAGTATACGGTCTTGGTTGTCCACCACGATGTCATACCTTGCAGCTTCGTTCGCTTTATAACTTTTCGTGTCTTTTTATGCGATTCTCACCATCCATTGAACTTTATGAAGGGAATCCTCCTGTCTAGCAACTTGACAGTGAGATCCGACTATCGATATGGCTTAGTTCAGTTTAACCACTTTAATTAGAATATCTCAGTTGACTTTGTTTGCGTATATCAGAATCTAACTAGACTTACAGCTCATATTTGAATCGCGTACCGAACGAAATCTATTAGACTAATTTAGTATGCACCTGAAATTTGTTAGTCATTTTTTGTGGTGTCAGCTCAAGTCCCCTCGATTTCCGTGTCGCGTTTTCAGAAGTAGAATAACAATTATCTGCGGAGTTTGCCTACTTTATCAGTATGACTAACATGATGTCTAAATTGATTACGAAGTAATTTTTGATGCAATACCGACGAGCAGATTCATCGAGTCCCCATTGGGACTCAAAAAGATGATTTCTAACAGTTCAGATAGAACAGTCGCGTAATAGTGTTTTCATGGTTTATAAGAGTTTAGCGCGCTGATACTACATGATGAAGCATTTCATATTCTATTAATATCTACCGCTCATAATATTAATTATCTCTTCGCGTCCCTGAATAAGTGTTTATCATCATTTTTGTTTGCTTCATAGACTACCCTCTGTGAGTCCAGATAAGAAGCACTCGTCTGAGATCGGTCGACCTGCAAAACAAGAACGACTAGATGGACCCTGTACTTCGGGAAATCTGCTCCGTTGGCACTCGCAAGCGAAAGCAGCCGATTTGTTCAGTCCCGGCGTTCCACTTGCGACTATGAACCACAGCCTAGTTATTGATCCAACAGCTGGGACCAAGTGGTCTAGCTCGAAACCTGGCGACACGTCCTGTTGGCTTATGGGTCGACATCCCGATGTCAATTTACGTCAGCGTCACGGTGGGCAATTTCCAGGGACAATTGGAGTGGAGCAGTCAATCACACCGCTGGTTTGCAAAAGCCCGGCTTTCACGCATTATCGTCTAAGTCGTCCTTCACGGGGTGAGGATGACGACGAGGAGGATGAGGATGAGGACGAGGACGAGACCGACGAGAGTGATGATCTAGACCAAGTAAACCAGTTGGCTGACAAAGCGGTAAACAGTGAAACAGTTCCATCTACTCTGTCTCCGACTGCCGAAAAACAAACAGAGTCGCCACGCCTCACACGTAAACAGTATCGCGGTCGAATTTCAATGATCTCCAACGGTCGTTCCTCCTTGGTTGTAACTACTGTGGTTGGAAACAGTCGAATGGCCACAGCTGTTCGCCGAAGTGATCGTTCCAGCTCCATCCGAAAGGTTTGTTTCACTCATATTTGTCACGCCGAGTTTATTTTATCCTTCAAGGGCAACCGTTCAGTTTTACGAACGTATCATTTGACCGATGATGATCGAGCGTTTGATTAGCACCTCGAAGTTCAATGAATCGAATCCCACCACCACCGGTCACATTGGTGGTAGACGGTAATCCACTGCCGTCCGGTTTGTTATCACCCCTGACCTATTGTAACCTTATCTGGTCCTCCACTCCAATTCTCAGGGTTTGATCGCCGGCTATACCTAATAATGCAGTGGGATTATGATTTTATGGGACATACCGTGAAATTCGAGAGTGACTCATTCTGCACTGTCATTGTTTTTTGTGCTATACTACACACTGGCACAGTACAAGATTCTGTGTGTATGAAATGATATGCTACATTCCACGTTGGTGTAGAGTTATGCTCGAGGTCCGGTCCACTCCAACCACTGCACAGATGTGTAGACATATTATGAAAAGGAATGTTTATATAGCAGTAAAAATGTGCACAAAAGTCGTCTTCTGTTAGCCGTTTACGAGTTTTGAGCAGATTTTTTATGGCCGTGGCCGTTATTCTCATTTTCCCCGTGCTAAGTAGCTTTCGATGAGCGTTATAATTGGAAATCTTTTTATCTTTAAAATGGCCTCCCGTTTTTAGGTGTCTGTATTGACTCTCCGATCGCCGGCATCGCGTAGTCGTTCGAATAAACAACTAATCAATCGCAAACAAATGCGCTTCTTTCTACCAAAGTCAAGTCGAGAAACCGTTCGTCGTGTATCTACTTCCTCGTCTAACAGTATACAACCGAATAATTCACTTCATCTGGATGATGAACTACGCAAACCACTTCAGCTTCGAGAGACGACTTGTTCATCGCTAACTCCGGATCTTAGTGATGTTATGTCCCATATTGAGTCCCCAGGACCACTTTCCGCAACGACCAGCGTTGAACCTTACGAATTCTCTAATCATTCGGCGGATATGGCATTTTCTGCTACCGGAAGCCCTGTCACTCGAGGTCGTTCTGGCGACCAGCCATACGAACATCAGTTTGGGTCCCTCGATGTAGTCTGGGCTAAGTGTCGCGGTTCTCCTTGGTATCCCGCACTGGTGAGTTGTTATTTATTCGTGTGTTAATGTTTTTATGGTAGTTTAACGGTCTCACACTATCCTGGAGAAAACCGTCGAATAAGAAAATGACAAGGTAAGGTAAATAGTTTGAATTGTGCATAGACCTGAAGAAAATCCTAGCGTTGCTTATCTTAAGAATTGACGCGTTTTTACACCAGTCAAGTTGCTTCACTTACAATGTGATGTGAGTGACGGTAACTCCGTGAGACGTAAAGCGCATATGTTCAGTTCCCGTGCAGTATATGTGCTCTAAAGACACAGCTGTCACGTTGACTTGATGTTTTTTTGAAGCCAAAAGGCCACGTATACCGAGACCGCGGGTTTTCATCAGTTCAGCTCGCTGTGCAGAATCCTTGTGTAATTGGATATGTCCAACATATTTTGGGAGGTTTCAAGTGACACCGATAGCTTAGTCACAAAGGAAGACAATACTTCAAGAAATAAGCTCGAGCGAAAGGCTGTCGTAATCCCAAACCCGACTTCGGTTATTTACGTCGAACACTAATTGAAGCGTTTCCTCTGGCAAGCCAGCAGTTCCGATAAAGTTCGACATACGTTTTCATTTCATGCAGTGACAGTTGTATTACAAACAGCACACCCGGATGGGCATTTGATAGACAGTTCCACTGAAAACAATAGACTCAATTCTTCGCCCGATTTTTTTCTGCAAATGGGTGTTTCTTTTCTACCTTTCACTTCCTCGACTTCCATTATGTAATTTCTTTATTGTAGTACCACCACACTCATTCAAACCGGCCCAACACTACCAATAATGGATGTAAACAAAATCGCATTGAGTAGTAGAAGATTAGATTTGTATAATATGGTTTATCATGCAGATTGAACACTCAACTCACCATTGAAAAACATGGAAACACTACAGCTGTTTCATCCTTGTTGGGAATCATGAGCAGTGCACATCCACCGTGCCCCCACGGGGACTCGAACCCGGGGCGAACGATTGTGAATCGAACACCTTAACCACAAAACTATCCGGGCTGGCTCTCTTTCACGAACAACGATAAGTGTGGTGGATTTAGTAACAACATTGGTGTTCTGCCAGTTTCAACTTATATAACTAGATGTATGTATTTGTATTAATCCAAAAATTTCGTGAAAGCCCATGTATGTTTTTTTAATAAGTAAAACAAAATGTTCTGCCCAGCGTAGCATTGGGTAGTTTGCTGCTTGAGTATTTCTGTTGTCGGATTCTTGAAGGTTACATTGTGCTGCCCAGTTCCTAGCTAGTGCGATTCGTTTTTTGTCATTCGTGTCATCCTCTGTGGGAGAGGGATCTGGCTTGTGGCACCAGCACTGCCTCGCGATTGAAACTGAAATCTTCATGCATATGGAAATTTTTCTTATTCCACGTTTTCGAGGCTACGAGAAATGGTTCCGGGGCTATTATGTGTTTTGGATTGTATTTCCTCGTTCACAAAAAGGCGAACAACATCGCTGCAAAAAGATCGTTCAAGGCACTAATCTGTGAAAACATACTCACGCACCAACCATCGTCAGTGACTTCGCAACTCGTCTGTCGCTTTAATGTGGAATGCTTTTTAGAAAGCGCTACAGGACTCGTGTAGGTATTTGCCTGTTTTCTTAGTTGTTCAGGATGAATCCTCAGGCTCATTTTTCGCTCCCGCTTGTCGATACGCAGGTCGTTGACCCTAGCGCCAGTGAGGGATATTGTCACAATGGTGTACCGGTTCCAGTTCCACCAGAATCGGTTCTTAACTGGGGCAAACGGCTCAACACCAACAAGCAAGCGGATCAGGACAGACCAGATTTATTGGTTCTGTTTTTTGACACGAAACGCACTTGGCAGTGGCTTTCTCAACACAAATTACAGTTACTCGGTTGCGATTCGGAACTGGACCGGGAACGACTAAAAGAGGGAAAACGAAGTAAACTCAAACATTCGGTGAGTTCCTGAGCAGAATGTAACAAGCACACACGCACACTCTCACAGTTTAATTAAAATTGATGTCATTGCTATTCTTTGTGTGTACATAACGATGTTGTCTGTCTGCCGTTGGTGGTGCTTACGTGAATGGAAGGTTAGTCGTTAGTTGCCTTCGGGAACGTGTTCTTTTGAACTCAATCAATATGAACAAATAACTGCGAACCTAGAATTTCACCGCTGTCGACTAACGAATTATATTTCGCTCAAAGGTGTGTAGCCTCTCTCAAGCCATGATAGCGTGTTTAGTACGACGACTCCGTCATCACGATTAACTACGGTGCACCCTTGTTCTGGAAGAACGTGGATCATCAAAGAACATTGTTGTGTTCAGAAATAAACAGATCAGCAATGGGACAGGATCGTAGTGTAACACGTATACCACAAATTGTACAGGAGTAAGCTAACGTAGGACTTTGAATTCGGAAGCGATGAATGATCCGCATCGATCGTGAACTGGTAAGGCGTCCAACATCACCCTTACTCTCTGCGAGACGATGTGATGCGTCCGTATCTGTCGGGTGGCACTATCCGTCATATCGGACGTCGCGGTTGTTGATCAGATGTAGTACTACAATACACAGATATAGGCTAACATTTCTGTTGCCGGACGCTTGTAAACAACCTTCGGGCATTCACCCTACGTCCGTCTACCAGTTGATAGGTGCCCGACCCATACACACGTTCAGTTTGTATATGCTCCTTTAGTTTCGCCTTACCTCTTGTTATACATGCTCTTTTAAAACGGACGATGGTCCCTGGCTACATGGATGCAGATGCTTCCCATTAGTAGCCTGATATCGATTTCAACGTTGAATTTGATCCAGGTCGTTGATTAACGCGAATGAATGTGCAGCGTTCAGCTTTGTCCGAATAGGTCGTCCAAGCATGGGTTGTGCCGGCGTCTTGTTTGTGACTCGATGGCACGTCGTTTCGTGTGTAAATAATGCTTCTAGAACTGCACTCTCCCAACTTTTAACCGAAAAATGGATTGTCTGAATAGATTAATTCAGCGTTCCGTTGAAGCGCTGCACCATACCGTTTAGCGCTGTGTTGTACGGACGTGTTCGGGACCGACATATTGCAATAATTTCGAGGTAAGATTGAAGCTTTCGGCTTGTGAACTGAGGGCCTTCGTTGGCAACTGTTTCCTTCGGCAGTCCAAACCGAGAAAACACGTGGCATAACCAGTGAATGGTACACTTCGCCGTTACCTTCACACACAAATTTATCTCGGGCCATTTACTGTAGAAAAAAAGAAATTCGACAGTTTTTTCATATTGAGGGACTCAACTAAATGGATTCACAATATCGATAGCAATTTTCGACCATGATTTCATGGGGTGGACTATGAGGTGTATCGGCGATTCAACCCTTTTTGAACTCTTATCCGATAGTTGGCATGGCTCACAGCCACGTACAAAGTTTCTTAAGAACTTTGACATTCCAGGCCACCAGAACCGCAATTCGGCCTTCTGTTTCGTACGGGCGATACCAGGATGACCCTCGTGGGCACACGACGTAATTCTCAGGACGATACTCGGGAGCCATGAATTCTGTACCACGCATGAAGCATTCATCCGCTAGTAGCAACTTGTGGCATAGGACAAAACTGGCGAATTGGACAGGTTGTTTTACTCTGATGAGACCATTCATTTGAGAGAAAATGCCGAATGCACTGGAGTGTTTCGTCTTCTGCAGTAGCCTTTTGAATATCCTCTCTTTTGCCAGCAAAACGTTCTTCACATTCCAGAGCAGACTAACAGCTGTTCTTCAGTCTTCTCACGTTGCTCTGTTTCGTCGAGAGGAAGACGAGAAACCCCACCCGCGCCTTGGCTTTCCCGTCCGAGTCTAATGACCATCTGAAAATTGTAATTCAATAATCTGGCGTACCATCGGTGAATGCTTAAGACCGATATTCCCCCGGATCAGTAGTTGCCCGTGCAACATGGTGAGAAATGAGGTGATCAGAGGGGCTTGAAATACTGTTAAACGCTGTACGATTATGATGATGGTCAGTGGTTCTTAGGGCTGCATGAACCGTCCGAAAGGTGAATGGCCTACCGAACAGCAATGAGTTCTATTTTTCGTTAGCCCATGGCTTCTTTCTGCGGCGGAATACCCAGCTTCAGTTTTTGCAAGTTTCCTGGAAGCATAAGCTCTTTCTCTTCTTCGTTGCACTTGTGATAAAATAGCGCCCAAACCAATATTAGAGGCATCTGTGGTAACAATAGCAGGACAACCATCGTCAGAAATTATCATCACTGGCATAAAAACTCCGTCGTCTTATCTTTTCAAATGCCTTTTCTTCTGTTGGACTCCTGTGAACTCAGTTTTCCTTTGTTAACTACCTCAGCGGCTCTGCAGGGTTTGCAAAGTCCGGCAAATGTCTCAAGTAACATGAGCAGACTTCGAGAAAACGCTTGATTTCGGTGGCGTTCCGTGGACGAGGTGTGTCAGTAACCGCTCGTATGTTTGTCACTCGGTTTGTTGCCGTCACTGGTGATAATATGGCCCAAGGTACATTTGTGTGAGTCATTTTGTTGACTTTCACACCGTACAGGCTCTGGCTCAAGGGTCACTCTTTCCCAGTGGTTGTGAACTGAAGTTCCTCGAGAAAGAATCCTGTGAATACAGCACAAATTCATCTTGAACTTCAGATGTCTAGTGTTGACAGCTTTTTCATCTTTCTATTTGGTTTATGTAGTCGGTAAACTTCCCCTCTGAGTAGAAACTGAAGATAATTCATGAGCATAGGAAAATGTCGAAGTTCAGTACACGAGAATATCAGTAAGTTCAGGTCCTTTGATTACCATTTTTATACTTTCGTTTTTCGTTTGGTCGGAAAAACCAGAAATAGCATCAGAATATCATCATCCTACAGCGGTAAACACCAAGTCAAGCCCCACTGACCGCCGCCTTTCTCGCCGTGTTGCACGTTGAAATAGGATCACTATACGAGGTGGACAAAGAGTGAGTAAAGGGAATGCCCAGCAGTCATCACGCGGAATACACAATCTAACCGTACATAAGCACACTCATTAGTCATTTTGATCCAACAGAAAGTGACGACACGATCGTCACTGTTCGCTGCCACATCCTTCAGTGTCTCCAGCCGACCGGTTGAGAGATCCTTTGGTCCTCAACCATGGAGAGATGAGACACGTACTTTTCCCAGTTTCGCTGTACATTTTCCCATTCCCCCCCCCCCTCATATCGTCTGTTGACCTCCACTTGGCTTCTACGACTCACCAGGAGAAACAGAAGCTAGCTCACGATATCGTAGGCACGCGTTTTCCAAACGCAACACGCGTCCCAACCACCAAAGTCTATCACGCTTCATACGCTGTGGTAGGATATTCTCTAAACTGGTACTCACTATTCTGTTTCTGACCTCAGCATCGCTTACCTGGTCATTCCACCGATGGTAGAAAACCTCAACGCAACGAACATCTCCCGCACACAGCCTCCATATCTCGCTGAAATACAACAGAACTGGGCGCACCGCGGCACAGTACACACAACCTCTCAACTTCAGCGTAAAATCAGGTCGGCACCACAAGTACCTCAGTCCAGCGTAAACTACTAGAGCCTTGGATTTATGCGTGCTTACCTCTTCTACCGTACTCCCATCCGTCGTTACGCTACTGCCGAGGCAAGTGAAGTTGTTGTCAACTGTTAGTACTTTCCCGTCGAGCATCAAGCTCGAAAACGTTGGCATTCAGTCTTGCAACATCACTTCACACTTTGGAGGTGCAACGCGTATGCCAAATGGAGTTGCAGCTCTTGCGAGTCTACCCAGTGCACGTTCAGCGTGTTCCGTGGATTCGAACAAGCAGACAACGTCGTCGGCGTAATCTAGGTCACAGCTTTTCATCATTTTTCAGTTCGATGCCTACATCCTGAAGATTTCACAGGGCATTTTCCATTATCTCGTCAGTGACGAAGTTGAACAGAAATGGCGAAATAGGACATCCTTGTCGAACGCCGCTGGTCGTTTCGAATGGACTATATAGTTCACCGTAAACCCTTACGCGACGAGAATTAAGAGAGTACAATGATCTCAGTAGGTTCACGAACTTCTGTGGCATAGCTTTTCGGTGGAGAGCACCAAATGGCGCTGTTCGATCAACTGAATCGAAGGCGCCTTCCAAGTCGAGGAGAACCATTACTGTCGGTCGACTGTGTGTGGCGCGTTTCAAGTAATTGGCGAAGAGTAAAAATCTGGTCGATGCATCCTCGACCTGGGTGGAATCCGGCCTGTTGTTCGCGGGCGTTCCTCTCGCGAGCCGGCGCAGCAAAATCGAGACCAGTGCCTTAATGATTACCGGAATCAAACTGATCCCATGATGATTACTACAATCATTGCGTATTTTCTTGAATATGGGTACAATCAGTGACTCGCCCCATAATAACGGAATACGCTCGTCGTTCCAAATGTTACGGAACGAAGTGGTAATTGATTTTGTCAGAGCATCTTCACCCAATTTGAAAAGAATTGGGGAAGTTCGTCGGAGCCGATCGCTTTTCCACGCCTCAGTAATCGAGAGCTCGACCCTACTTCAACTTCCGGTAGAGGGTCAAGTGATACTCCACAAGGAATAGCAGTTGTTGACATCGGAGTAACCAGATTAGCGCGCGGCCAGTTAAACCGCCCTTGAGGTATTCGGTCTAACGGTCCAGCCTTTGCGGTTTGCCATAAGGTCTCCGCTCATAACGCATATCGTTTCACTGACCGGGGTTCGCCGTCCACCGGTGTGGCGAATAAGTTCGGACAGTCTTTGACTGTTACCTGAAGCAGCTGCTACTTCCATTTCCTCGGCTACCTCGACCTAACAATTTTCGCGGTCTTTCTTAAGACATTTTGTAACTTGCCTTTGTAGATGTCTGCGTATCTTATTCGTCTCCGTACAATTCGAGAGCTGATGTTTTTGCTCCATTAGGCTCAGCGACTCTTGCGAAATCCAGTGTCTTTGATGGACGTCGGATCTAGGACCGCAGGCGAAACCTGCTGCCACATGCGTTGCCCATTTGCTATGGGCCCAGTGCTCAACTACATCACTGTTCGTCGTAGTACCTAGCTCCTGTGATAATTTCTGGTGCGAGCGCTAGACACGCCTGTCGATCGGCCCGCATGGTAAGGGAGTCGAGATTCAGAGGCGTAATAGGATTGAAGAAATGTGTGTTATGATACTGTGGATTATTCCCGACGTTATTTGACAATGAACCGTTGCGAGTATTCGGCGTGTTATCAGAGGGAGCATTATGGGTAGATAGAGATGGCAGAGAGAGATGGTTGGGAATAGAAGACGAAGTTTGAACGAGAGGGAACTGTTTATCAGAATTCGAAAATAAAGTCTCTTCATATGTTGCATGGATGGCAAAGATGGAACCGGTTTGTCATTGGGTCACCTAGACGCTCATTGTTTTTAGTTTTCAGCTTATTGTCCACTTCATGACGGGTTCTCGGTATACACGAGCCACAGGTTTTTGATCTCATTTTCACAACCGGTCTGAGACAGAGTTGAACCCAGTGCTCTGTGAGCGCGCCGTCTTGTGCACTGATCATAATAATCGAACTTCAACTACTCCGTCTCTCTTGTATTACAGGTTCTCAAGGCATATCGTCACTCACCGTACTTGATGCAGTGGGCAGCGCGGTCCTTATGATCCTGCGCGACGACGCATGGAGTACGGAGTTCTTTGTGTTTGTGCAGTTCATATGAGATTTTTGACGGGTACCGCTAGGGTGTCCAGCCGCTAAGCAGAACGATTAGAGCTCTCAAACAGAGATTTCAGTTCTAACAAGAACCTGTCCGCAAGGCAGCTGAGTGGAAGCCCATCTGCTTGGGTGAATGATTCTTCCACGGACTTCACCCAATGAGTTGTCAGCTCAAATCGGCCCACAACCAAGAGACTGTTTCGTCAGTCCCCTACTCATTGACTTTTCAGATATGGTTGGATTTTCGGCTTGAGGTAAGCCGTCCTGTGTAGCTCACTTGGTCGCTGAGGCGCGCAAGCCTCAACACCATGTCAAAGTTTAAGCTCATTGCTACGATTGCGAGCTGGACCTTGCTATGGCAGCTGATTGTGAATGGTACCGTTCCATAATAACGTCCTTGGATGTTAGTTAGCAATTTCTGCACCCACAGCTCTTTGAGGACTTTTTCTTCCAAAAGTCGCCCTGCCAGCTGCTGCAGAGTACTTTTTTCTGTCCAACCGCACCCCCTGGATAATACGTTTTAGTCTACACGATTTTGACGGAAAAATACTAGAGATTACCACCTCCTTCACGACTGTGTAGGAATATGCCCTGAAAATGATGTCGCTTATCTGAACAACAACATCACGGGAAAGACGGCTAATAACGCACAAGCTACGAGTTTGTTCACTGGTTATCCTGAGTTTCGAACATTGCTTCCAGCATACGAAGCCGGACTTGAGGGTCGTTAACGAAAACCTTGGAGACGGTTAGAGAGACTGGTAATACCGCCAGTTCTGGGTCGCAGTTACAGTCGTTGCTAGCCTTAGATGCAGTGATGCTTCGATTCTTAAAACGACATATATCAGTTAACCGAGATACGTGAAAAAACGGGAAAATATGACACGTCTGATAAGTTTATATGCAAACCAAGAGAACTGAAAAAGTATTCGGGACTCGAAACGCTGGAACGGGATAACGTGTGTTGGAGGGACACGCCTGTCGATCGGCCCGCATGAGTGTACGCATGGTAAGGGAGTCGAGATTCAGAGGCGTAATAGGATTGAAGAAATGTGTGTTATGATACTGTGGATTATTCCCGACGTTATTTGACAATGAACCGTTGCGAGTATTCGGCGTGTTATCAGAAGGAGGGTAGATAGAGATGGCAGAGAGAGATGGTTGGGAATAGAAGACGAAGTTTGAACGAGAGGGAACTGTTTATCAGAATTCGAAAATAAAGTCTCTTCATATGTTGCATGGATGGCAAAGATGGAACCGGTTTGTCATTGGGTCACCTAGACGCTCATTGTTTTTAGTTTTCAGCTTATTGTCCACTTCATGACGGGTTCTCGGTATACACGAGCCACAGGTTTTTGATCTCATTTTCACAACCGGTCTGAGACAGAGTTGAACCCAGTGCTCTGTGAGCGCGCCGTCTTGTGCACTGATCATAATAATCGAACTTCAACTACTCCGTCTCTCTTGTATTACAGGTTCTCAAGGCATATCGTCGGGCGGTGGAACATTTGTGCAAAGTTCACGGTAAACCATACCCGTACGTGGACAGCAAAGCTTCACAAGACCTAGCAGTTTTCACTTTGTAGAATTATACATTATGTAAGAAATATTTATATTTCCTCACTTCCAACAGAACCATTTTTTCGAAACACTTGTCGATACCTCCATTCTCATACAGCTCACTTGTATAAAATCTTCTCGCGCATCTCGGATTCTTTCTGTTTTCCTGTTCACAGCCACAAATCCACAATGAACATTTCCTATCGATTATATTGTACTATAGACCCCCTGAAGATTATCTGTACATGGAACATTTAACCCTGTATATTACCCATTTACCCTACCGTGTGTGAGTGGTAAATTCACTCTTCCATGTTTGTCTGTACACAGATTGCGGATTATTTTCTTTCTCGTTAGTGATGTCGGGTCTGAAATCGCTGTTTGCATTTTTTTTCCTTGCTTAAGATTCCACTTCGCTGCTTGGTAATCTAAAGTGTTCTGTCGCAATACAAAATTACGCCCATAACTTGTTGCTATGATGGTTCCTAGGATTTACGAGTCATTCGTCAAGAGAACCACCGCAGACATCTCAGCTGAAATTTTGACCTTATTGATGGGGCTTTAAATGAGATAATCAAGTTGCAATTTTCAACACGTGTAGATGCCGTTGACATCACAGACTCCGTATCTAATGGTCAGGGAAATTATTTTGTTTTTTCAAGGACCAATGAAAACATCAGATTCGAAGAGGAGACAGAAGAAACGACCAAGAATTATAATTAATTTAAAGTTCGCTATTCATAAATAAGGAATAACGCAGAACAGCTGTTCCGTAAGTCGATTATAACGGACTCTTCTGGTAATGAAGACCTAAGCAAGAACTTAACAAGACAGGAGAGCAGATTGAAGCCGAGGGCGGAGGCATAAAGGAATCAGATAGAGTAACGTTTAATTCTGACGGAGGGGCAGAAAATCAAACCAGGCCATGTATTTCGCAGACGAGATTGTCAGGTGAGCTGTTGACGAAGCCGCAAGTCAAGGGCCACTTTTTCTGAGTCAGCCCACTGACTCTAGTGGGAGGACTCTTCTGGCTTTGAACCATCTCGTTTTGGTGACAGAAAACAGAATGTAGGAGTCAGCCCATAACCTTACACCCTTCCTTCTTCAATAAAGATGAATGGTTTTGGTTCTTCCGGGTTCCTGTAACTTTGGCATTTCGCTTGGGCATGTTTTGATTCTTCGAATAATTATCTTGTTCAGCTGTACTTCGTACGACCGGTTTCCGAAAAACCCTACGGTTCCCTCCTCGATAGGACCTTTCTGGACCATCTTGGGATAATATTCCTTCCTCTTATTTCAGTGTTGGCAGGTCCCGTACTTCTGAAGTGCGTAATATCACCGCAGGTTTCACGGATGGTCTCATCGCTTCGTATCCCTCTGGGACGTAACCATGTAGTGCCAGTGACATGACACGCATACACGAACAGGTTTGTTTATCAAAGCGAGTACCGAATTCGGTGGCACCACGTGCTCCGCGTGTGCACGCTCTTGTGTCCCTCCAATACACGTTATCCCGTTCCAGCGTTTCGAGTCCCGAATACTTTTTCAGTTCTCTTGGTTTGCATATAAACTTATCAGACGTGTCATATTTTCCCGTTTTTTCACGTATCTCGGTTAACTGATATATGTCGTTTTAAGAATCGAAGCATCACTGCATCTAAGGCTAGCAACGACTGTAACTGCGACCCAGAACTGGCGGTATTACCAGTCTCTCTAACCGTCTCCAAGGTTTTCGTTAACGACCCTCAAGTCCGGCTTCGTATGCTGGAAGCAATGTTCGAAACTCAGGATAACCAGTGAACAAACTCGTAGCTTGTGCGTTATTAGCCGTCTTTCCCTTGATGTTGTTGTTCAGATAAGCGACATCATTTTCAGGGCATATTCCTACACAGTCGTGAAGGAGGTGGTAATCTCTAGTATTTTTCCGTCAAAATCGTGTAGACTAAAACGTATTATCCAGGGGGTGCGGTTGGACGGAAAAAAGTACTCTGCAGCAGCTGGCAGGGCGACTTTTGGAAGAAAAAGTCCTCAAAGAGCTGTGGGTGCAGAAATTGCTAACTAACATCCAAGGACGTTATTATGGAACGGTACCATTCACAATCAGCTGCCATAGCAAGGTCCAGCTCGCAATCGTAGCAATGAGCTTAAACTTTGACATGGTGTTGAGGCTTGCGCGCCTCAGCGACCAAGTGAGCTACACAGGACGGCTTACCTCAAGCCGAAAATCCAACCATATCTGAAAAGTCAATGAGTAGGGGACTGACGAAACAGTCTCTTGGTTGTGGGCCGATTTGAGCTGACAACTCATTGGGTGAAGTCCTTGGAAGAATCATTCACCCAAGCAGATGGGCTTCCACTCAGCTGCCTTGCGGACAGGTTCTTGTTAGAACTGAAATCTCTGTTTGAGAGCTCTAATCGTTCTGCTTAGCGGCTGGACACCCTAGCGGTACCCGTCAAAAATCTCATATGAACTGCACAAACACAAAGAACTCCGTACTCCATGCGTCGTCGCGCAGGATCATAAGGACCGCGCTGCCCACTGCATCAAGTACGGTGAGTGACGATATGCCTTGAGAACCTGTAATACAAGAGAGACGGAGTAGTTGAAGTTCGATTATTATGATCAGTGCACAAGACGGCGCGCTCACAGAGCACTGGGTTCAACTCTGTCTCAGACCGGTTGTGAAAATGAGATCAAAAACCTGTGGCTCGTGTATACCGAGAACCCGTCATGAAGTGGACAATAAGCTGAAAGCTAAAAACAATGAGCGTCTAGGTGACCCAATGACAAACCGGTTCCATCTTTGCCATCCATGCAACATATGAAGAGACTTTATTTTCGAATTCTGATAAACAGTTCCCTCTCGTTCAAACTTCGTCTTCTATTCCCAACCATCTCTATCTACCCATAATGCTCCCTCTGATAACACGCCGAATACTCGCAACGGTTCATTGTCAAATAACGTCGGGAATAATCCACAGTATCATAACACACATTTCTTCAATCCTATTACGCCTCTGAATCTCGACTCCCTTACCATGCGGGCCGATCGACAGGCGTGTCTAGCGCTCGCACCAGAAATTATCACAGGAGCTAGGTACTACGACGAACAGTGATGTAGTTGAGCACTGGGCCCATAGCAAATGGGCAACGCATGTGGCAGCAGGTTTCGCCTGCGGTCCTAGATCCGACGTCCATCAAAGACACTGGATTTCGCAAGAGTCGCTGAGCCTAATGGAGCAAAAACATCAGCTCTCGAATTGTACGGAGACGAATAAGATACGCAGACATCTACAAAGGCAAGTTACAAAATGTCTTAAGAAAGACCGCGAAAATTGTTAGGTCGAGGTAGCCGAGGAAATGGAAGTAGCAGCTGCTTCAGGTAACAGTCAAAGACTGTCCGAACTTATTCGCCACACCGGTGGACGGCGAACCCCGGTCAGTGAAACGATATGCGTTATGAGCGGAGACCTTATGGCAAACCGCAAAGGCTGGACCGTTAGACCGAATACCTCAAGGGCGGTTTAACTGGCCGCGCGCTAATCTGGTTACTCCGATGTCAACAACTGCTATTCCTTGTGGAGTATCACTTGACCCTCTACCGGAAGTTGAAGTAGGGTCGAGCTCTCGATTACTGAGGCGTGGAAAAGCGATCGGCTCCGACGAACTTCCCCAATTCTTTTCAAATTGGGTGAAGATGCTCTGACAAAATCAATTACCACTTCGTTCCGTAACATTTGGAACGACGAGCGTATTCCGTTATTATGGGGCGAGTCACTGATTGTACCCATATTCAAGAAAATACGCAATGATTGTAGTAATCATCATGGGATCAGTTTGATTCCGGTAATCATTAAGGCACTGGTCTCGATTTTGCTGCGCCGGCTCGCGAGAGGAACGCCCGCGAACAACAGGCCGGATTCCACCCAGGTCGAGGATGCATCGACCAGATTTTTACTCTTCGCCAATTACTTGAAACGCGCCACACACCGTCGACCGACAGTAATGGTTCTCCTCGACTTGGAAGGCGCCTTCGATTCAGTTGATTGAACAGCGCCATTTGGTGCTCTCCACCGAAAAGCTATGCCACAGAAGTTCGTGAACCTACTGAGATCATTGTACTCTCTTAATTCTCGTCGCGTAAGGGTTTACGGTGAACTATATAGTCCATTCGAAACGACCAGCGGCGTTCGACAAGGATGTCCTATTTCGCCATTTCTGTTCAACTTCGTCACTGACGAGATAATGGAAAATGCCCTGTGAAATCTTCAGGATGTAGGCATCGAACTGAAAAATGATGAAAAGCTGTGACCTAGATTACGCCGACGACGTTGTCTGCTTGTTCGAATCCACGGAACACGCTGAACGTGCACTGGGTAGACTCGCAAGAGCTGCAACTCCATTTGGCATACGTGTTGCACCTCCAAAGTGTGAAGTGATGTTGCAAGACTGAATGCCAACGTTTTCGAGCTTGATGCTCGACGGGAAAGTACTAACAGTTGACAACAACTTCACTTGCCTCGGCAGTAGCGTAACGACGGATGGGAGTACGGTAGAAGAGGTAAGCACGCATAAATCCAAGGCTCTAGTAGTTTACGCTGGACTGAGGTACTTGTGGTGCCGACCTGATTTTACGCTGAAGTTGAGAGGTTGTGTGTACTGTGCCGCGGTGCGCCCAGTTCTGTTGTATTTCAGCGAGATATGGAGGCTGTGTGCGGAAGATGTTCGTCGCGTTGAGGTTGTCTTTCATCGATGGACTTCACACTGGTGATCGTCTGTATTTTTTCGGTGATATAAAAGGTAGGCGCAAATATACATCGAAACTGAGCGAGCGGCAGTTGCTTAATTTAGGACAGCATATTCCATAGTTATGTGGATGGCATATTGGTGACAGATTGATAAATATGAATACGAATATCTGTGATGGTAAAATTCATAGTGGTTAGGAAACGTGAATCAAGTGGTGTCTAATGGCGGAGCTTTTGTTATGGTTTATAATGAGAGGACAAGAAGATTTAACTGTTGTCTAATATCAACACTGCAATATGGTCGATCAGTTCATATTTCATGGTCAATTTACCGAATGTCTCTCAACATGGTAATTTTTCCACTAGAGTTTCGCGCGTTAGTGAACGGAGGGTTATACTCCGTAGCCTCGAAGGCCCACTACTTAGTTAGATATAGCTGGCTACCAGACCGTGACGCTGAAAATGGAGAATCACATAGGGTCCTAACAGGCCGGGTATAAACTATCAGA